GAAAGCTACAGTCATATTCTTTCAGAATATCTTTTGAACTTGACACAGAATCTGAACTAGAAATTTTTTGAACATTTTTAATTTCTTCTTTAAGTTTAAAATTATTTTCTTTGAGTTCAAATTTTTCTATTTCATGTTTCTCAGGATCAGATGCAAGACTCTTCTTGAGTTTCTTGTATTTGATTTTGAGCTTACTATAGTTTTCCAAAAGTTCTGATAAACTTTCAGCAAGTTCATCTCTAGAAAATTCAGAGAATACCTCTTTCGGGTCTGACTCACAGTCTGAGTCATCTGCTGTGGTAGCCATCAGAGCTAGGTTGGCATTCTCATCTTCAGAATCAGATTCATCTTCATAGGATTTTGAATCGTCCCAGGTTGCCATCATCCCTTTCTTTTTACCAAACTTTTTCTTTGGTTTTTCTCTTTGGAGTTTTGGACAATCACTCTTATAGTGTCCAGGTTCTTTGCATTCATAACAAATTGTCTCTCTTCTGTTTGACTTTTTGTGTCCAGAAGATTCTGGTTTATCTTCTGACTTCTTGAAGTTCCTGAACTTCTTCTGTCTGTGCTTCCACAGCAGATTGATCCTTCTAGAGAGCAAGGATAGTTCGTCTTATTCCGACGCAGATTCTTCAGAGTTTTCCTCTTCATCCTGAAAAGCATTAGTATCATATTTCTTAATTGATTTAAGGGCAAGAGACTTACCTTTCTTATGAGGCTCGTGCTCATCAAGTTCTATCTCATGACTTCTGAGAGCGCTGATGAGTTCTTCAAGAGACACGTTGTTCAGATCTTTTGATACTTTGAAAGCAGTGACCATAGGTGCCCATCTTCTGGGTAAGCTTCTGATGATATTCTTAACGTGGTCTGCTTTAGTGTATCCCTTGTTCAAAACTCTCAGACCAGCGACCGGAGTTTGAAACCTTGAGAACATTGCTTCTATAGATTCACTTTCTTCTACTTTGAAGGCTTCATACTTCTGGACGAGATCCAGAGCTTTAGACTCCTTCACTTGAGCGTTTCCTTCATGAGTCATTTTAAGAGACTCAAACATATCATGTGATGTATCTATATTTGTGATTTTTTCATATTCCATTTAGAGATAGCATTTAGAAAAATATTTCTAGCTCTATGATGATTTTTGAAATCAGCTTTTTGTTGTCTATCCATATTTTTTCTATCAATCTTGTTTCCTTCTGAATCTGTAGGATGTGTGTAACCATCCAAGACTATATCCCATAAATCACTATCATGACCTAGAAAGAAACTTTCTAGTTTATCTTTCCAATATTCAAAATCTTCTCCATCAAATACAGGAGGTTTGTTGTAAGTATTGTTGTTTTGTTCAGTAGCCATTTGTGTTTTCTTCTGGATCTTTTCCTGACACGGTTAAGTGTTGAGCTCAGAGTCAAGCTCTGATACCAATTGAAGGGTGAGAAAACACTTAGAAGGGGGGGGGGTGAATAAGTTTCCCTTTTTATTTTTCTTAAAGGCTCAACAATAATGGAAAGACAAGGTTATTTTTATCCTGGTTCGTTTGAACTCAAACTACTCCAGTCCACCCGCCAAGGTGATTTCTCCTTTCTCAACAAGGACTTAATCCACTATAATCAACTGATTACAATCACACAACAACTGTTGTGACTAACAATTCCCAAGTAATCTTACAAGTGACTCACACCACTAAGACTTAAACTAGTCCTAGTCTACTTGAGAAATCTGACCAAACTTGGTCTCTCAAGGAACAATTACAAGAGATAAATCTTTACAGATAGTGAAACAAAGTTTGCTTCTAAGAAAGCTATATCATAACTGTGATTTTTCACTAAGAATAATATTGCACAAAGTGTATGAAAATTATTTGTGAGCCCATAATATTTTCACGTAGTTCTTGCTTCTTTTGAAATTATTGAGTGGTTCAGTAGTTTCAGTGGTAGGCTTGCAATTAATGTTCTTCTATATATAGTAAGAAGAAACTTGATTGTTGCTTCCTTCAGAAAGTGGAGAGCATTAAATGTTTGCGTGTTTCCTTGCACTATTCCAATTTCCAATGAACTAGCGTAGACACTTGAGTGCATGTAGCCGTCTTTGCATTAAATGAGCAAACAACACTTTGTCAGAGCATGTCTCCTGATCCTTGACAAGACTTGTTAGCTTCTATATTCTTTCAGAACTTAGCTTCACGTCTTGATTCAGAACATGCTTGCATATCTTCTAAACAACGCTTGCTTGCTAAGTACTTCTGATCAACGCTTGCTTTCAAAGAACTTCTGAAACATAGCTTACACAGAATTTTGCTAAGCGTTAGAAGATGTATTTAAATAGTTATCTTACCAGAGTCAGCATCAGCACTTGTGCTAAAACAAATAGTTATTTCATCAAAGAACTTCTTCATTTATTTTTAGCTCAGCACATCAAAATGCTTTTGTCAGAACATTATCTGAAACAATTAAATACGTTCATCAGAGTATCAAATATATAAAATATAATTTATTGTTATCATAAAAAATCTGAGATATGATCAGAACTAATCTTATTCTAACACTACATGGTTCTGATTTCTCCATTGCACAATGGAGGTACGTAGGCACAAAACTCTCGAAGTTTTGCTGGATTAAAAATCATAAAAACCATTTTTTCTCATCTCCACAATATTTTTGCAAACAACCAGTTTTAACCTTTAACAGATATTTTAAAGAGTTTCCTATGGAGTACCATGGATGTTTATGGTGCTAATACATTCCCTTTGCATAACTAACCCCCGTATCTTGATTTCTTTGTTTTATTAATTTTGTTTTAAAAGTTCTGTGGATTTTGTTCGCTCTTTTCTCATTCCTTTACAAACAATAAAGTGTAGTGGCGACTCTTGCTTTGTGAGTTAAGTTAATCAATTGTTTAATCTTAAACCGCTACACCACTACATTGATTAATACCTGGGAATCTTTAAGAGATGCAAAGTTACCTTGCCTTTCGTGTTGAAGAAATACCGATAAGATTTTGCTCATGTTAGGTAAGGAATGCATGAGCAAAAATTGAATAGCATAAAGCAAACTATGATTCTTTATTGATTGTCTCATAACCTCACATGAACATCTTATCATTCATGTACAATTAGGAATTAACAAATAGATTTGCAATTCTTTCCAAAGAGCTTTCAATGTAGAATAAAATTCAGTAACAATTTTATAATCTTGCTTAAAAGCCTAAATCTGTTGTTGCAATTCTAAAATTCGAACACGATCACCTTGAGAGAACCTTTACTTTAGATCCTTCCAAACATTAATGAAATTTCCATGAAAACAATGGATTGCGCAATTGATTTATAAATAAAATTAAGTAACCAAGAATGAACAAACATATTATATGTGTTCCATGCGCAGAAGAAGGGATCATAATCATCAACCAAAAATGGTATAGATTAGCCTACAAATTCGAGTCTTATTTTACCACCAAGACCCATCTACATAGATCTCGCCCATGAATAATAATTGAAATCTTAAAGATCAGGTGTCATTTTAACTGAAAAAGGTCTTATCACAAGGATGAACATAATCGGGATTTTTTTTATCCGTGTGGGGATCTAGTGGAGCAAGACATGGTGACATGGTGACATGGTGGAAGATGCAAGAAAAGGAATGGATAAAAAATGAACAAGTGCATGTAGTTCGATGAAGACGTGTGTTACCATGTTAAGAAGTTAAAACCCTGTGAAAAGAAAGCTTGATGCTTTAGAAACTAAAGGAAGAAGAGAAGAAAAATGATGGAAGCACACATTCTCATTCTTGTGCTTAACCTTCAAATGATACAAGAGCAATGTATATATAACATGAAAAGAAGCTATCAACTAAATTAACTAACTTCAACTTGGTTAACCACCTCTAACAAACTACTTCCTAGTTATGGAAACTAATCTAACTAACTTTTGAAGAGTTACCAAAACCGAAAAGAAGTTACAATATGCAATATGAACAAATTAAAGTTCAACATTTTAACACGGCTTTAAATAATATTTAGGCTTAAATGTAGTTTTGACCCCCCTATTTACATTTTTCTGAACTTTTGAGCCCCTGTTTTCAAAATTCAGCATTTTAGTCCCCAAACATATTATTTTTTGGCATTTTTAGCCTCCTTCAGAAATGCATATGTGACACATAGAAATGTTGAGTTGTTAAAATGACCTTGGTACTACGTATTTTAAGTCTATTATTTAATTATTTTAATTTTTATTAATTTATGAAAATATTTAATTATTATTAACTGAAATTATTGTATTTATAAACCCATATCCTCTCTTGCGCAAAGATCATTCCCTATTGCTCTAATCCTTTCATACCCTAATCCTCTCTTGTGCAACGATCTTCTAAACCCAGATTTGCAAAGATCTTTATCTTCCATCGTTCGTCCAAGCAGCAACGAAGATGAGCAACATTCCATCCATTCCACTGTGTTCGACAAGAAAAGAAGATGCTCGTTTCTGTACAAGGTATGCTCTTTGAACTGATTTTCTTTCCTCATCTTGTTTTCACCATGTTTTATACATTAATCCGATGAAAAATTTGTTATTTATTAAGAACATCTCAAGATCATTGCATTAAGATAAGATTTCATCATTGGGAAAAATTAGTAGAGTCCGATTAAATAGTATGTTGATAGATTAGTGTCTGGATTTATAAATACAATAATTTCAGTTAATAATAATTAAATATTTTTAGAAATTAATAATAATTAAAAATAATTAAATAATAGGCTTAAAATATGTGACACAAGGTCATTTGAATAACTCAACATTTCTATGTGCCACATATGCATTTCTGAAAGAGGGCTAAAAAATATCAAAAAATAATATATTTAGGGACTAAAATACTAAATTTTGAAAATGAGACTCAAAAATTCAAAAAAAATGTAAATAGGAGAGTCAATTATGCATTTAAGTATGATATTTATAATAGATTCTTATAGGACATATGCAAAATCAATATCAATAACTACATCAAATCCTCCTACTCCTCAAAGCACAGTCCTTCATGAAAAAGAGAATGAAACTCACCCATCACATATTTATCAAGAACAAGTCCAACTTCAACACCACCTTTCAAATCCTTACTTTCTGCTAATCCAATTGTTAATCCTCTATCAAGTGAAGTAATCTCCACTTTTGCAGGCCTTCCAAAACCAAAATCAATCTCATAAACTCCAAGCCTTGTTGAACCAGAAACTCCCATTGTCTGTATTCCTTCTCTCTTCATAGCCAATAATCTGAAAATCAATGTCTCCATCCCTTCAAGAACTCCTTCATCCATCTTTTTTATTTTATCATAAATCCTCTTAGCAACAATTACCAACCCATCTTCCTGTGTAAAATTTTCATATTCAGTTTCTACTATATGTGTATTTACACAATTTCCAAAATAGTTTTCAGGTATTGGAGGATCTAATCTAGCCCTGCAATCCGCACTGAAACCACAAGCAAATTTATATTCTTTGTCACTATTTGCTTCTTGATTTGCCTTTGCAATGCAGACAAATACATAAGCACATGTAAGAACAAAATTTGACAATTTCTTAGGTTTTGAAGTTTCCATTTTTGGTTCTTTTTGTTGTGCTAATTCTAATTCCACCATGTTCCATTTGGACAACACCCTTTTGTTTAGTTTCTCCAAATCTACGCGTTTGAGCTCAAACGTTGCTCGAACGAGGCTTTGTTGAGATGCTTTTGAGTTTGGCATAATTTGCAAGCTTCTTTGTTTGGAGGAGATGTCACTCCAAATACTTATAAACAAACGTTCAAAATCATTTGCATCGACGACTACTTCCCTTCCGAAAAATGGTTCCAATGAAGGCTTTAAACTTGGTGACAGTGTTTCTTCAAGAGATTTACATGTTGAAGCCCAAGCTTTGATAAACATGGTTGAAGATTTTCCATCAAGAACAGCATGGTGACTGCTTAATCCAATGGAAAAACCACTTTTTGGAAAAAGGGTTATTTGAATGGAGAGAATTGAAGCAAAAGAATCTGTTGAATCCAAGTGAGGTACAAAATAACGAGACAAAGACACTTCATGAGGTGTATTATACTCCAAGAGTTTCTTGAAGTCTATATCATCTTGATCTTCATCACACTGTGCTATGATCAAGGAAACTCCGTCGTCAACGGGATTAAATTGGATGAATGGTTTTGGAGAATCAGAAGACCAGACGATTTTACCAGCTATAGGGAGGAAGTGTTGGAGAGTTAAAGAGAGTGATGATTTTAGTTTTGGAACAATTGTTTGGAAGAAGAAAGAAGGGTGTGATTGGGAATTTGAGAGGGTGTAGAAGAAGACACGTTCAACTGGGTGAAATCTTAGCCAAAACAAATCAAAGAATGTGAGAGGGAGAGATAGTTGAGATTCAAATGGAAGAGAAAATTTGCATTGTTCATGGATTTTTATGTGCTTTTCTAGAGAAGCCATTTCTTGGAAATGCTTGATCTATGAAAGATTTGCTTGTATTAATTGATTTTATTGTATATATAATGTTAAAGGAGTTGAAGAGTTCATTATTTTGTTGGATTATAATATTATAGCATCTAAGTTGTTGAGATTATAATATTATAGCATCAATAATGTTGTTTTTGAATAGATGAGAACATGACTAGCCAGAAAGAGTGTGATCTTGATTCTTAAAGTCTTTCGTTTGAGAGTTAGTCAAATTATGTGTACAAAAACATAAATATTAAATGACACTCAATTATTAGCAAGTTCAAAAGACTTAAAAGTATTGGAAATAGGATATTATATGAGCAACAAGAGCTACATCTACACGAGTGTGCTGATGGCTATAAATAACAACAAAAGAAACAAAAAAATAAAAGAAAATATTGGAAATTATATGACGTATAAACTAAATTGAGATTCTATCCATTTTTCAAAAGAAAATAAAAATATAATTATTAAAATATTAATGTATAAATGTATATATTCTTGAAATATAAGACATATATTTTATATAATTTGACTTGTATATAATAAAAATATTAGTAATGGTATTCTTTCATTTCTTTTGAGAAATGAAAAAGATTTTAATTCGTATAAATCAATCAACACTTATCAACCAAAAGAGAAAAGCTAAATCTCGGGGAAAAAATCACTATAAACATAAACATAATTTTTTTAGTAAAGATACCAAAACACTCTGCCAAAAGAATTAGACTACAAACTCTCAAACTCTTTTTTACTCAAAAAGTGAATATTATTTTTAAGCCGAACAAAGAAAATATTGAAGTTAGCTGCAAACCTACCAATATATTATTTTTAAATAAGGAAAATATTCTTTTCACAACTACGAAAACATAGTTAATCTCGGTAGGTGTTATCTTAATTTCAAATGCAAGGTAACGAAGGAGGCAATAAAAATTACGCCACTTTACTTCTCAGTTGAAACTCTATTGACGGGTGTTGTACAAAAGTTATGTGTTTGATCTTTTTAGAATTGTTAACCGGAGAAATCAACTTTCACCTCGGTTATAACATTTTACTGGCAGGTAAAACAACTTTAACCTCGGTTTTGACATTCTATTGAAGGATAAAGCATCATTGAGTTTAGTAAATCTAATATGGATTACTTTTTTTACTAAGCTCTGACTGAACATATAACTTCACAAATTGATTAGAAAAATAATTATATGGATAATTGTGCTATATTTGAATAACAACTTACATTAATTAATGATTTTCGAGCATCAAGTAACTCGTCATTCATCTTATGATCTTTTATGGTTAGAATATCTTCAATTTTTCAAGTTCTTTATTCAAAACTTATTTTTCTACTAATTCAATCTTGAAAGCATAAATGTAATGCTTTGCAAAATTAATAAGTATGGAAGAAAGTTGAACGAAAAATAAAAATATTGGAGAGATTTTAACCATAAAAGAACATGTGATGAATGATGAGGTGCAAAGTGGTCGAATTTTTTTGATTAATGTAAGATATGTCTTAAATACAACATAATTTTTCATATTATTATTTTCAAAATCAATTTAATAAGTTATATGTTCAAAGAGAGGTTAGTGTAACAAACTATGGACATTACATATAATAAATTCAACTCGATGGAACAAAATAAGAGTTGTACAAAGAATCACAAAAATATAATCTCAATATCAATATCAATCTCAAACTCAAACTCAATAACAATAACTAAACTACATAATATAGATTTTCATAGCTCTGAGGTCAAATGATTTGAAACTTATCATTTTATATATATTTTTAAAAAGTTTCATTTAATGCTCCAGTTTTGTAGAAAATCGACATGTTATGTAGATGATTGTTTGAGCTTCGATTCTCAGCTCCTGTAAATTTATGCTTATTTAGAACTAAAATTTCACCTTTATTTTATAAATCATCCTATACATTGGTTCTTTAGAAAACTGACATTCTAAGTTGAATAATATCATATTTAAATAAATTGAACCCATATTTACCTCGGTTAGTTCCCTCAGTTTTTCTGAAAACCGAGATGTTAATCTAATTATTATTTTATTCTTTCATCAGAATATTAAGTTTCATTCATTCACTTTTTACGCCCTAAGACTTTTCTTCGACTGAAACACCATTCTCTCCATCTAACGAGCTGAAACACCATTCTCTCCATCTAAGGAGGAAGAGGAAGGAAGCTCGAATCACAAATCATTACTTTTCTTCGGATTTCTGATATGTAGATCTCCCTCATGTGATTTTTGTTGTTGTTGTTGTCTTTATTGTTATTGTTGTTGTTGTTGTTGTTGTTGTCGTTGTTGTTATTTTTGTTGTTGTTAATGTTGTTGTTATTGTCATGGTTTTTGAGACTTATGGTATAATGTACAATGTTTTTTTCCAGGTTTTGTAGTTGTAGTAGTTTATTGTTATTTTTGTATTATTTTGGAATGTTCATTTTTATTTTAATTTCAAAAGTTATATGTTATTACTGGTCGTAGTTGGATGAAAGTCAATAGATTAAGTAAAGAGTATGAGAATGGATTGATTCAATTTATTGAATTTGTGGAAAATTTGCCGAAATATACAAAAATAGCCAATGGATATTGATCAGTGGTTTTTACACAGTTATTTACCATTAATTTCAATTATCTTTTCTTTTGATTGTCGAGTGTTTTATTTCGTTTTACCATATTTTATGCGTTGGTTGTGTGTTTTAGTGTTTTTAGGATCACAAGAATAAATTTGAATAAATCAGTGCAAAAAGTGCAAAATTCAGAGTTTCAAAAAGTTTCCAGCATGCTTCAGGAGGCCTGACACGCCCACCCATGTCACCTGACACGGGCCGTGTCAGACAATGCGCTGATTGATCAGATCATTAGCAGTTTTCACTAAAAATTCATAACTGGAGCTACATGATTCAAATCAACGTATTCTTATATTCGTTGGAAAGCTGAGAGAAAGAGCTACAACTTTCATGTTAAATTCAGAAGTTGATTCGGATTGTAGAAGCTTCGAAAAATTGATTAAAGTTGCAGACTTTAGGAATTAAGTTGTTTCAAGTCGTTTTACGAGTCTGGTTTATGTTTCCGACCTAGTGTGAGTTAGGAGGGAAAACCCTTATTTGGTTTATAAGAATTTTTGCCACATGAAGAATTGAGGATTGAAGATTGAAGCCTACACAAGTGTTGGAGAACAAAGACCTTTCATGAGAGGAAGCGATTGAAGATCAAAGTTCACCATCTATGTGTAATGTTTAATTTTTATTCTGAGATTATTTTGAACAATATGGGTAGCTAAATCCCCCAATGCTAGGGGGTGTCCCTGATTTGAATCTATAAACGATTTTGATTCCTGAATTTCTTTAATACAATAATCTTCTCTATTCAATTTAATCGTGCAACATTTTCATGCTTTCCTGATCAGACTAACTAGGATTGTTTTACGGTTAACAACCAGCTGGACCGCGGTTGTTAAGGATTTTGTACGATTAGGCTATAGTAGATATCACCTATGACTAGGGATATCCTATAGGTCACCAGTAAAATCTTGATAACATAACTGCTTGGTTTCATCATAATTCACTAAGGACTTAGGAAATAGGATGAAGGACCAAAGGTTTTCCCACTAAGGACTTAAGGCAAAACATATTAAAGAGTCGGTAGTTGAAGGTAATGAACTTGTTGAAGAGATCAATAGTAAAGGTTATTACAGGGTCAAATCACACACCTACCCCTAGCATGCTCCTCATATAATTGAAAAGCCACTTTATATTCCTGCTATGTGTTAAGTGAAAATTTCACAACCAAAACCTCAAATCAAGTTTTGTTTAATTGAACTGCGAATTTAACTCGATAATTGCATGCAGTCCTTGAGACCGACATTCGGGGAATATCCCTATTATTACAAGAGAATAAAATAGTACACTTGATATTTTTCCCATAAGATATTATATTCAATCATTGTGGTTGTGATGGAATTATTCAAAATTACACGAAATGACTATGACATGGTGAAGTGACAAAAAAAAAGGACCTGCGACATATATAGTTGAAGATGGTGAAGCTATGAATGATACTCTAGAAGATATAATTCATGATATTGGAGTAGATGCTTTTAAGTAAGTCTATGTGCAAGATACTTTGAAAATTGACATGGAAGAGTCGTTTATTTGGGGTGCAAAAATTTTACAAGACTATCATTTGTGTTAAAACTATTTAATCTTAAGGAAAGATATGGGTGGACGAATAAAATTTCACATATTTACTTGAATTATTGTAAGAAATGCTTCTATAAGGTAACACATAGTCAAGTCGTAGTTATGATGCCAAGAATCGCTACTGCGAAAAATAGCGACGCAAATAGAGTCACCATCAAATGTTATTTATCCTAAATAAGGGAAAGGAAAACATTGAGTAAACCTAAGAAAGGGAAAGAATATGGTTTCACGACCAAGAGAAGGGTATGAAAGTCGATTACGCATGGGGAATGTATTAACACCCCTCACGTCTGTTGTACTAAGAGAGATTCATTCTTATTATTCTAATTAAAGGGTGTGTTATATCTAATGCTTAATTGTTAAGAGAATGCTTGAATGAATTGTAAAAAACATAAAGAAAGTTTTTTATTATTGCGCTCACCTCATTTTTTCAACCTTGTGCCTACGTATCTCGAAAGAATAAGATCACTGTAGTTCTTCTAAATTTTTTTAATTTGTTGCATGTTCTTTAGTAGACAGTGTTACATTCACATTCTAGAAGTTAGGTGTTTTCCTCTCGACCTTTGGAGACTCACGTGTTACCTGTTTGCAGTAGAAAGGTGTTAATTCTCGGTTTTGTTATGATTGGCATTATGTTTCGTAAAACTAACTTAGCATGGACATGTTGGATGAAGATGTTCTCTCAACTAGAGCAACATGTTGAATATGACGTCCTATACAGTTTCCTTCAACATTGTGATTTTATACAGTTGGGCTATCGGATTTTTTAGTTTGTTA